TAGAGAGGAGCATAACAATAGTAGTAATAATAATGGTAAGAGAGTATACAGAATATATAAAACAAGTGATGCACAATGCAATTGCTCACCACCCGCTGACCGATGCCCAGCCTGTCCTGAGCCGCGATCACTCTGCCCGAGCTGCAATCACTTTGCCTGCGACCGACCAACTAACTGCCCCCCCGAGCATGACGTTCTATGGTATGGAATAGCTCTTTGGTCAGTTTGGGTTAGCTGTCCTGGCTGTGCTCCCTCCCAGCTTGTTATGCACCTGGCCGAGCAGGAAAAGCTCAAAAAGTCCTTGAGCAGTCTAAGCACTACTCAGCAACAACTAAAAACATAAGTGTGTTATCAACATTCTTCTAGTACTAAATCCAAAGCACAGCACTATGCTAGCTACTATGAAGAAAATTAACTCTATCCCAGCCAAAACCAGGACAGCCAGTCTCGCTCACCAGGGGGGGGTATGCTCTCCTTAACCATCCTCTTCTGGCTGACATACCTGTAGAAACCCTTCTTATTATTCTTTGCATCCCTTGCCAAGTTTAGCTTGAGCTGCGACTTGGCCTTCCTGACCCTATCCCTACACCACTGGGCAGCGTCCCTATACTCTTCCCAGGATGCCTGTCCCTGCTTCCACTGCCTGTGCAGTTCCCTCTTCCTCCTTAGTTTGACCAGCATCTCTTGTCTCAGCCATGCCGGTCTCTTCCCTTCTTTGCCCGATTTCTTACACCTGGGGATCGAGAGCTCTTGCGCTCTGTGGAACACATCTTTAAAGATCTGCTGGCTCTGTTCTGTTCCCCTGTCCCTGAGGACTGTTCCCAGGGAATCCTTCTGACTATCTCTTTGAAGAACTGGAAGTTTGCTTTCCTAAAATTTAGGGTCCTGTCTATACTCTTTGTTATTAACTTAAGCCCATATGCTCCAGAATCAGGAGTGTGTAAGTGTTAACATTGCTTCATTTACCCTTTATCAGCCTTTTACCAAATGCACTTTTTGCTCAGATTGAAAAATATTTTACTGATGTCAAAAGGAATTAACTTCTGGCATTGTAGGCTATTTTAGCAAGGTACAGAACTTTTGACTGTAAGATGAGACAGTTGTAGTCTTACTGATGTGGAACTGAGGCACTCCTGCCTATCTCTTGCACTCCTATAAATGTATCTTTTAGGGGTTTTTTTTAAAGGTAAATATTTTGCTCTGTTGCAGGTGTATTAGGTCTTGGTTCTTTATCTTACTGAGACTGTTCCTAGAGCTGTTTTCAGCAGTAGGAGACTAGAGTGAAACTCAGCGCATTTGTGATTCTGGAGAAGCATGACTGATGCTGGTTTTCAGACTTCCAGTACCCTTTGATTCTCTTATGCTTTCAGAGGTCACAAGTCTTTCCAGAAAGACTAACTTCACTTTCCTCCCATCTAAACTAAGCCATACAACAGGCAGTTATACCTGATTGGATTTGGTTGTGTATTTGGTGGATGTGTCTGGTGTGTGTAGATGGGACGGACTGAGGTCTCTTTCTCCTTGATTGATCTCTCTTTGATAGAAATTGACCAGAGGACAGTCTTCTGCTATCTGCTGTGAAGGTTTCTGCAAAGTTTGTGTCAAAGCTTCTTAGAGAAAACAGTCTTCTTAAATTAATAAAAAAACACATTAGGACAAATGCTGTCTTGAAAAGAAAGACTACTCCCACTAAAGGAAACCACTGTCAAGAAATACTATTCAATTTTAAAGTAAGTTTGAAGAATTTAAGGAAAAGAATCACCAAACAGATTGTTATAGCTTCTCTGCTTCCTCTTCTGTAAGCATACAAATGTGTTGGGAAAGCGTGAAGTAAGCTTTGTTCTTTGTTACCATATGGCAGTGCATTGAGCCAAGCAGAAGATTGTTACTGCTTCTTTAAAGCTGAAGTGAGCTTAGATGAGTATGACCTTAACTAACTGTAATCAAAAAAAGAAACCCATACAAACCTGTTGTAAACCAGGAGCTTTTTGTTTTTATGAGTTGCTCAAATCTTGCAGATGTTCTTTTAATAATTGCCAGAACAGGTTCCAAAGACATCAGAAGGGAGGTGTTGACAAATGCTGATGGGAACCATCCATGAATCTTGAATCAGAGTAGCAAACCTTTTTTTGTTGATCTACCTACCTCTCCAAAACAGACTTCCTAGTGGTGATAGAAGGGCAGACTATAGAAATGTGCTTAGATACAGTTTTGTTCCTGTCAAAATGTTTTCACTTTCTCTGAACTTTTTTATGTGTTAGAAGGGAAAGACATATTTTTTCAATCTATTGTTGAAAAATAATATTCATAACTAGATTATTAACGTAGGACGGATTTTCAGATACCTACTTTCATGTTTTCCGGATCGAATGAATAATGTGTATATGCTTGAGTTTGATCCCTTTTTCAGTCTGCTGTCCAAGAAGATAGAGGTGAATGATTGAACTGGCACTCCTGGAAGAGTAGTGTGAAGCAGAACGCCTGTGAAAGCTCTATAAGTGCTGGAATTGGGCAATGTGTTTGATATTTGCGTAGAAGTCATAAATGTCCTCATTTGCTTTTTGTAGAAAAAGAGGAGAAAATAGGAGTTCTTGCAAATACCTGTCCAAACTATCACTTGTTCTTTACAACAGTCAGGAATGCTAAGGTGTATAGGTTTGCTTCCCATCCAGAAATAGGCATATACCTGTCGTCTTGTTTCTTAATGTACCCTACCCTTACTTGAGCAGACTGAACACGAAGGCTTCTGTTTCTGATCAGCCATTGCTACTAAACCTTGAGCATGGGTCTGAGGGTCTCTTTAGGAAAGTTCACTTTAAGTCTAGATCATGGAGCAGAAATTCAGAACAGTTAGCACTGCAAGCAAGGTTGACTACAGTCGTAACTGGGTGGCATTGCTTTATATGGATTAGTGCAGGCTGTAGTTGTGATTAGTTATGTAGTTATGATTGGATCCAAAACTCAGTTGGTGGAATGATCCTGTCTTATTTAGCAAGTACATCCCATGCAAACACCATGTGTTTCCGCTCTGCTTATCATTCTTATAGCTGGATATTTCAGAAGAAGGAATGAAATGATCTGCACAGTAAGATACCTGGTGAGATGGTTGGGATCATACTATTTCCCCTTACCAATAAATATGGACAATGTTGACAACAAATACTAAGACACTTGTAAAAAAAATCTGCTAACCCAGAGTGTTTAGTGTAAGATACCTGGCCCACCATCTTATGCTTTAACAAAAGCACAATTCCTACCTATTTCTGTCACTGACTGTATACTGCTTCTGCCATCCCCAATGATAGGAAACTAAGCTTAAGCCTCCTGGCTGAAACTCCACCAAATTCCCTGTCATCACAGAAATCAAGTCCAACTTCACAGAATTCTTTCAGTTATATTGGCCAAAACATAAGTAATTAGATTCTTGCAATCTCAGACATCTTTCCTTTTGTTTTGTTATTGGGCTGCAGGTTTTTTTTCAGTGGTTCCTATTTTAATGAAACTCTAAAAAGAAGAAAACTCAGCCTGGTGTAGTCATATGGCATGGAAAATGGCTTAAGTTCAGCAGACTTCTAAGGCTCTGTACTGAGTTACAATATGAACCACAAAGCAAACCTCAACAGGCAAGGCTGTTAGCTCTGGTTATAAATAGAGGAGATATAATTGCTACATCAGGAGAAGAGCTTGGAAGGGTGAGGGGAATAGTAACATTATGGTGATGACTTTCCTTCCCACTGCTTTCTTCTTCTTTAATCTCTGACCTTCATGCAACAGCTGGTAAGAATCTTGGAACTATGAACTGCTCCACTTCCCTGTAGCTGATTATGTTTTACAGATGTTTTCTGTGGGTTTCTGTATTATTTGGCCAGAACAATATTTTTATGCCATGTTGCTTAGCTAAGCATTTGCTGCTTTGTAGCTTGTAGATCTCTTGATACTTTAATGGGTCAGTTAGTACTGTCAGCTGTCCTGACCAGATAAGCAACTTGTCTATATCCAGGTAACCATCTTCTTGGCTGTTTCTGTGAGATGAGTAAGGGAGAGGCCCATAGATTAGCTCCATTTGTCATGCAGGAAAGCTGACAGGAACTGAGCGAGAGGATATTGGGTTCCTTTTGGTTTAAAGTCAAAACAAACGTTCCCAGAGAACTAGAGCTCTCCCACTGGCTCAAGAATTTACCAAGGAATTTGAAAGTAAATTAATGGGAATGGAGATGAATCTAATTTTTTTTTTTTTTTTTTGATGGCAGTAAGTCTTCTCGTGATCTAAGAGTGAAAAACAAACACCACCTACACTCCTAGGTCTAGAGAATGTCTTAGTTTTCCCCTTTTTTGGTGAGTACTCTTTGAGATACAAAATAGGAAAACTCAGGAGCTTAAATAAGCTAAAGAAGTAGAGATAGGGTAAGACTGACTGAACTGCTATCAGGAAAAGGATTAGTGCCTTTTGTTAAGGCTCTGAAGAGACATGAGGGAGATCAACAAACCTGATCAACAGAATTGCTTTGCCTAGTCCACTCACTTTGAGTCTGTCATGTAGATGTCTGTTCCACTAGTAGATAGGAAAGAAAAAGGGCAGGAGCGCACAGCGGCAGGAGTGAAACCTGGAAAAGATGCTATTATTGGAATAATTATGGAATTAACAAAATTTACTGGTTTTTGAAGGTGTATTTTAACTTTATGAATTGACAAATGTATGTCTGGCACTAGCATAATTTCATGTATTTCTGGTGATTTCAGGTAGTAAGCTCAACAAATGGAGAACTGAACACGGATGACCCAACTGCAGGCCGTTCAAATGCACCCATCACGGCTCCTGCAGAAGTAGAAGTAACAGATGAAACTAAGTATGTCCATATTTTTATATTCTTTGGATCCTCTTGGGTGCTCAGCTACTCAAAATTTTTCTTGTATAGTTATTAAAAAAATATTGTCCAAACTGAATAGCCACTGGTGAGGGGCAAAACTATAGTGCTATGCTTAATTTTGGCTTTAAATATTGAAATAATAGACTTTCTAAAGCTTTGGCTTTTTAGGCTAAGCCCTCAATAACACATCTATCTATACTAGAGAATTGCATGCTTTTTTTTATATTTCAACTAATTTTGAAATACTTATTTTAAGTTAGTGTCTGACTACCAAACGTTATGTATGAAAGATGTAAAATTCTTCCTCTGTGTAGTATTCTGATTCTCTTTTTCCCTTACTCTCTTTCTGTTGTAGCTGCCAGAAAGTGTTGAACATGTGGTGAGTTTTACAGCATAGGCAGGCAGAAATAGCCCCAGGGGCTTTGTTCTTGTTATTTGGTTTAAAACTAATTTCAGACAACGTTAAAATAACAAATCCATTCGGAAATCACAAAATATGTTTTAAAATTGTGAAACAATTAACTATTTTTACAAACAGCCACCTTCAGGAGCTATTTTGCCTGCTTTAAATCTTGCTTGCTTTTAAGTTGTGTAGTCTGTGGTCTACTTTATTTAATCCTTTTTAGTGGGTAGTAGAATATTTTTTCTCATTTGCTGTCCTGTTTCATAGGGGAAAACCCTCTTTTCAGATGTTGTAACATTCAACAAGTATTTTACCATCTAGGAAGTAACTCACTTATATGAACAAGCAATAAACGCTAGCAAATGATTGAACTTTTTGCCCATTATCTCTGTAAACATAGTATTTAGCAAAGTATTAGTCTTTGACAACCTGCTAACTAATTACTAAAACATAGCTTCAGGGTTTCTTAAAGTTACAGTGTATCACAGAATCACAGAATCGCAAGGGTTGGAACGGACCTCGGGAGATCATCTAGTCCAACCCCCCTGCTAAAGCAGGCTCTCCTAGAGCAT